GAAGATAGATGTTGCAGATAAAGAAAAAATAAATAATGAACGAATAGCCTTAGGACATTGGGGTAGAAATAAGTTAATAGGATAAATAGGCATCGTAATAGCAATATAGAAGTAGCATTAATCAAGTATAAGACCACAAAAATACATAGGAGTATAAGGGGGAAACCCACAATATAAAAGAAAATATATGTAGCTCAAGCATGAACTGTTCTTGGTGCTCTTTGAGCTATTTTGAGTATTATACAAATTTAGTTTATCTCAATGTGTCTATTGATGGCTGATTTGTCTGAAAATCCCAGAAAATTTTGAAAGTTTTTGGATTTAGCTTGGTCTCGGATGCTTTCCCGCTTGAAACTCAATCTAGTTTTGTGTTGTGGGATTAAGGAATATTCATTGTGTTTTCTGACTGTTAGTTGGTGTTTATGGATGTACTCTACTAGTCTTCTGTCTGCACTACATAGTGGCTCTTGCATTTCTTACACTTTTTGTTATAGTTGACTCTTGTTTTTCTTCTTCTTGGGCTTCTGGTCTTTTGGTTAATTTCAGATGTTTTGGAGGGCTTTAATTAGTTTGTGTGCTAAAGTGATGCCACGTGGTTGTAGTAATTTGTTGGTTGCTGATATATGGTGTTCTGGGTTGTTTCATTTTACACAGATTCTCTTGTGGGAGGTTTGGTTGTTACTTTGGTAATGGAAGAGTAGGTTAGTGTGGGTTGTTTTTCAATAGACTTGTGTTTCTAATTTGCCATTGTTTCCTCTGCTGATAAGAATACCAAAAAAGGGTAGTGTGTTGATAGTTTCTTCTTCCATTGTGGATTTTATTCCTTTGAAGATACTGTTGATTGTTTCATATGCTTTCTCTAGCTACTCCTTTTTATTATGACTAAGGTGTCATCTACATACCGGATTCATGTTTTTGGTTATATGTCTGGGAATGCTATTGTTTGTAGATGCAGCACAATGGTCTCTGCTATGGATAGAGTGATGATCCCAGGATGTTCCTCTTATTTGTTGGTACATTTGTCCATAAAACTGAAAGAAAGTAGTGAGGCAAAGGTTGATTAAGTCCATGATTGTATTTTGACCTCAAAGGTTTTTGACTAGGTAAAGTGTATTGTGTATATTGCTGCCATGGATTATTTTGTTAGTTCTGGAAAGATGGACATAAAGAATGCTGTGACATCAGATGAAACCACAATGTCATCTTCTGTTACTAGATTTTTTATTTTCTGGAGGCACTTTGATTTTCTAGAGAGCTGATAGACTATTCTGTCACCTATGTGAGATGCAAAAAATTTTAATAAGTTCTTTGGCTATAAGGGTCTCTGGAAACAATGCAATTGGATGATAAGGTACGTCAGGATTGTGTATTTTTGATATAACCAAGAAAAGTCAGATTTCTTTTCTTCTTCATCCCCCCCTCCCCCCGGCACATCCAATTCACCATCATCTCATAACCATACTCTCTTTTCTAAACAACAGCTCTTTTCTACTGCTATTTCTTAACTGCCTCTATTTAATATTTATCAATATTGTACCTACAAGGGCAATTAATTCTGGTAGAGGTCTCTAATAAGAGCTAACGGCCTTTGCCTGCATTGCTTTTTCATAAGTTCAGGATAGCAAATGTAGTAATATACCTCAAAAAAATCAAATCAATTAATTCTTAGGCTATTTTATTTTAAATAGAAGATCAGATTATAAAGACTTTGATTTCTCTATGTCCTGTACCCAAAAAAGGAAAGCTACATTACTGACAACAACTAATTTTGGTTTCTTAGACCTGGTCATTCCAGATATTTACAAAAAGCTTAGCCATATACATTGAGGAAAGTAAATTTTTTATATATTTTGTTTGAATTGAAAAATTGAATCCTGCATTATACTGAGATACTTCATTCATTTAATCAAATATTGGAAACTGTCTGACATTTTTTTAGGGTTCTTAGTAGCTTCCCTAATCTTATCAGAAGATCCAGGAAATTGAACCATGATAATACCCTAAGAATCTGCGTAAATATATTCTATATGACCCAACTGAAGAGATACGTGCTACCAATTTTCTAATATCTGAACAGCTATCACATAATACAAGAATTTATTATCAGTCCAGAGATTGGAACCAGTACCATGAATTAAAAGAACAAGGAAGTAAATTCCAGCTATATGGCATGGGGGATTTTTGGGCTGTTCGAACTGTCAAAGCAATAGAACATGAATTTGTAGGTTTTCCTTTGCTAGAGATTTTCAAACAAAGACCACTTATAAACATTTTAGTGTGTTTTAGTGCAGCAGCCTCCATTCTTTTGGGCACCAGGGACAAGTTCTGTGGAGAGAGGTTTTTCTGTGGACTGGAGGGAGTATGGTTTCATGTGGTGCCTGAATCCTACGAATGGGACTTCAATTGTTTATGTGGCTCAGTTTCTGGTGTGCTAAGGACTGTACCGGTCCACAGATTGCTGTTTTAGTTGATGCCATTCTAAATAATAATTGTGAATAGATATCCTTTCTTCTAACTCTATGATACTATAACCTCCTGTGTGCAGTTCATGTATACTTACACCTGATAAACGGTCTTAGGCATTAAAGTCAAATCATGTCTCTTTCCTTTCAAATATATCACAATACCTTTTTCTCATTTCAGATCATCAGCCTTCTACGTAGCATTTACAAATTATTCATTTAATCCTCTTCTTGCCCAAAATCCATGGATTATTTCAGTAAGAATGGGTTTGGCTTTTCCTAAATGGTAATTCTCAAATTTAATAAACAAAGGGTTTTTAAGGTTTTCTCTTTTGTTTATAAAAATACACTAGTTTCAAAAAAATCTAAGAATCACTATTGTCTATGGTATGTGCATCTCATTTCAGTTTTTTAGATGAAGTGGATCTGTTCTAGTAATTCTGCTATTCCCTAGTTACTGAAATACAAGCTTTCTTACACACACACACACACACACGCATAGATAGATAGACATCTAATTAAACAGAAGGGCTAGGTTCCTCTTGTCTCAGTACAGCAAAAAGAACAAAATCAAACCTCCTTAATACAAATTTCTAGTGGTGTATTTCTATATAGAAGTATGTTTCAATCAAGGAAACTATATTTTGATTTTATTGCCTCTTTACGTAGTGTTAATTGAATGATTATAACTGATTTCCACTTTAAACTAACTACTCAATCTGAGCAAAAAATAGGTTGTTATGCTTAACACAATTGTTACAAAGTACATTTGAATACTAAATATTTTCACTTACTTTTGATATCTTGCTCTTATTGTCACCTGTCAAAAATGCCAAATTGTTAATTTCATTCTGAATCACAAAATTTTGTTCTTCTCTCTTAAAATTCTGTAAAAAATGATAAACACGCCCTTTGATCACTTATTTTACATACATAGCAACATGTATTGTAAAACTAGCATGTGAAATACTATCTTACATGTGATTTACACCACAGGATGAAAACTTCTGCCACCATGCGGAAAAGTTCATCAGAATCAGCATCTGGTTTTTTAAGCCAGTTTGATCTTAAAAGAGAAGCAGTATAAGATTATTAGACTGAAGTCCATGTGATAATTACTTTTTAATTTTCATTTTAGCCCTTTGTTTCTGATATCATGTATCAAATTATCAGTGTTTATGGGAGAATTGTTCACTATGTTCTTCCTTTTACTGGCAGATGCATTAATAGTGCAATTCAATCCACTGCTCCACAAAAGTAAATCCCATTGAGCTTAAGAACGGAACTTAGTTCTAAGTAAGCATAGAAGGATATCTGTCAATCACGGCACCAAAATCAATCAATATTCTTTTTTTAGCAACTTAAAACCTTAATACATTTCCACAGTTTAGAATCCAGTGTCATTTTCTTTTTTTATTCCTTTCAGAAATTATATATCCACTCTAACACTGCAATATTATAAAAAGCTTATGTTTAAATATAAGATCATGCATGTTAGCAAAGAATCAGTTGAAACTGCCTTGGGCCACATGGATTAGAAAAATATGATTTTATATTTCAATAAACCACAATATTATTAATATTGTTAAATAATTTCAGTCACTTTTACAATAATAAATCTCTAAATGGTAAATGTTGCAACAAGCTGCTTTGGGAAGCTGAAACACAGAGTATTAAAAGCTTTTTATACATCTTTGGTAAAATCTCAAGTATCCTTACTATTCTGAATGTTTTGCTGGCTTGACATCCATTTGAGTTGATATGAAGGCAGTCATTCAAATGTTTTTTTTTCTGACTATCCTAAATTTAGTGAAGCTTGAGGACAATAATGCTCCCTTTGTCCTATTCATTATTGATTTTTCTCAAGAAAGCACTCTATTCCTTGTTGTGTCAGATGTCAACACTATCAAACTTTCCACTTATCAGGATAGTTAACACTGGTTGTTGATCCATGAAGTGACCCTGACTCGTTTCTTGTGAATGACCTTGACTTTTTCCCCTTGATGGTTGATTCAAGATAAGGCGAATCTATTATTTACACATCATATGAATTTTCAACATTATTGCAGCAAGCAAACAGACAATTTGTATGTATGCAAGACAAAATGTTTGATAAACTGTATATTTTAAAGGGATGTTTTCCAGAATATATCTTAGTTCCTCAAAGGTTAGTAATGAACATAAAAACAATTCAAAGAATATATTGCCAACCGCAACAAATCATCAAGGGGATGAGGTTGGGGTAGAGTTTTATGGATTTCATTTTGTGAATTTTTTAATGCTATAAGCCAGTCAGGGTCACAGTGCTTGAGTTGGGCAACCATAAAATGTGTAAATAAACAATAACAATTAAGCACTAAGGGAAATTGAAGGATTCTATAAAAACATTTGACAAAAATAATACAGCCAGGAAAGTGGCCCAACCATTAGGTGACAAAGGAGTGAAATGATGCTCCTGGAAGATATAGATTAGAGACTCTACTGTATATTAGAGACAAACTGAATGAATTCTATACATCTATCTTTACCTTCACAGAGATGGATGGCTATTTATTGATTAATAAATAAAGATGTTGATAGCTATTGATTTGGATATTGTTAAAAATACATAAATGGATAGTGAACCTAGGTATCAAGAATGTCTTGAGACTTATTACAGATTGGACAGAATATGCCCTGAAACATAAGTAGCAGGGGAATAATGACAAGTTAGCAGTATATCTCCATTATTTGCATGAGAGTGCCCCAAAAGCATTTATTTGGCTGCTGGAAGAATTTCCTTCTTGACTAATCTGGACTTACTCCTCTGATTGTATAGTATTACTTTCAGAGTGGACTTCAACTATCCTTGCTGTTTACCATCCACTATGACTTTGGTTTGTATTTATTTTTTTATCCTTCACTGAACAGGAGACAGTGCTTGCAACGTTCAGGCTTTGTAATATTGTTGTGTGTTTTATAGTATGATACATAATACCTAGATTATTAACAATCTTGATATCATATGTAATCTACACTGAAAAAACTCATTGACTCTCATAATTTTCTGAGGTAGATTCAAAATTTTGGTTTTCAGCCCAGCATTACTTTAACCATGAGCCAATATGGACCTTCTGCATCCTTGCGATTTATTTTCACTTGTAGAGAAGAGCAACAAAGATGATTAGGGGACTGGAGGCTAAAACATATGAGGAACGGTTGCAGGAACTGGGTATGTCTAGTTCAATGAAAAGAAGGGACATGATAGCAGTGTTCCAATATCTCAGGGGTTGCCACAAAGATGAGGGAGTCAAACTATTGTCCAAAGCACCTGAAGGCAGAACAAAAAGCAGGTGGAAACTAATCAAGGAGAGAAGCAATTTAGAACTGAGGAGAAATTTCCTGACAGTTGGAACAATTAATCAGTGGAAAGACTTGCCTCCAGAAGTTGTGAATGCCCCAACACTGGAAATCTTTAAGAAAATGTTAGATAGCCATTTGTCT